AGCCCTGCCACCTCTTTCCTATTGCTGGCTCCAAAAATGGGGGCTGGAGGGAGCCGTGGGGCGAGGATTTGGGATGGAGAGGGCGAGGAGAAGAGCTGCAGGCAGGGAGGTGACGGGACGTTCCCGCTCCTCCAGCGTCCCCACCATCCCCATCCTGGCCTTCCCAGCGGAGAGGTGGGAAGAAGTTTTCCATTTGCAAGCCCCAGACTTGTCAGCTGGGCTGACAAACAAACAGATCCGGCGGTGCCAGGAATCCTGGGGGGCACTTTTATCTCCCGTGGCAGCGTCTCTCCAACCCCATCCTTTAATTACGGGGAGCCGAAGGGAGGCCGGCGTGGAGACGAGGTGGCAGCGTGATTTATAATTCAGAGGACGGGGTGATTTAGATGTTTTCCCAAGGATAACCTGTCATCCCAGAGGAGTTCACCGGCAGGTTCCCCCTCTCCCCCCCGTGGCAGCGGGGAGATAGTAATTTGTATTTTCTTTTCGTTATCCCTGCGTATCTCCCCTCACCTGCTCCTCTTAAGCCGCCTGGGCTGTAATCCCCTCTCAGCAGCCTTCCCTAAAAAGTGACAGGGAACAACAGCAGCTTATTCCACAAGCTGCTTTCGTGGCTGGGGCTCTAATACCCCTGTGCTGCTGTTTTACCTTCACTTCACCACCTATCCCTCCAAATTTTACTCGAGTCGGCTTTGATTTTTCTTTGTTTTTTTGTGGTAAAACAAATTAAAACTCGAGTAGCAGAGGGTGGTGGTGGGGATTTGGGGCTGGTTATGACTGTCAGACCCCCTCATTTCATATGGAATGAGCGTAGGGAGGAGGACAGTGCTGGGATTATTGACAAGGTTAGATATTAGGAATTTTTTTTTTCATGGAAAGGGTTGTTGGAACAGGCTGCCCAGGGCAGGGGTGGAGTCACCATCCCTGGAAGTGTTCAAAAAACGTGGATGTGGCACTCGGGGACACGGTTTGGTGGTGAACACGGCGGTGGTGCTGAGCTGATGGTTGGACTTGATCTTAAAGGTCTTTTCCAACCTTAATGATTCCTTGATTCTGTGATAAATTCCCGCATCTGCTCCAGGATTTTCCCCTGTGGATCTCACAGTGATAGGGATTGTCGCCCTTGCTCCGTGTGGTGGGGAGTAAAACAACCAGGGTTTGATTGTGAGGCTTCCCTGGGCCTTTCCCCAGCTCCCTAAAATCCTGGGATTAGTTGTCCAGGCTCCATTTCCAGGGAGGCTGCTGCTGTTTGGGTGTTTCTCCCCTCCCGTGGCACCGAGGTTGGTCCTTGTCCCTCGTTCTGCCACCAGGAGGGTTCACACTCCTCAGCCAGAGGCTTTGGAAAACATCTTTGATCCCCGTGGGGTTGTTCTTGGAGGGCTTGGATGTGCCTGTGGATGGCAGGAGCTCTGCAGGCGCCTTTGTGCCAGGCTTTGCACCAGCAGCCTTTGGAAATAACATGCATGGGATGGTTGGGAAGGCACTGGGCCGACATGTGAAGTGATGAAGCCGCAGGAATAACTTGGCACTGGCACGAGCCCCTGTCTCCCTGTCACCCTGGGATCGTATTTCTGTCCACACAGGGAGAAAAAACCTGGGCAGGACGTCAGCACGGGCAAGAAACCTGCTGTCTGTGAATCCCAGGGGATTTCAGAGCTGCTGGAATTTAGGTGGAGTCGTTCCTTCAGGAGCTGGAGGCAGCTTTGCCTCAATCCACAGCAGTCCAAGGAAAGGAGCATCTTGCCCTGCTTGAGCTGAGCTAATCCTGCATGAAAATTAAACCAAGTGGCCTGGTTGGCACGGGGAGAGCTTGGTGGGCATGGGAAAAGCTTGGCTGGCACAGGGAGAGCTTGGTGGGCATGGGAAAAGCTTGGCTGGCACAGGGAGAGCTTGGTGGGCATGGGAAAAGCTTGGCTGGCACAGGGACAGCTTGGTGGCACCTTGGTGGTGTCCAGAGGAGCCACAACTGACCCAATCCTTCCTGCTGGCACTGGAGGTGAAGGATCACCACGCTGACACAATGGGGAGTGGGTTTAAACTAGGAAAGGGGAGATTTAAATTAGATATTAGGAGGAAATACTTCCCTGTGAGGGCAGCGAGGAGCTGGGATGGAATTCCCAGAGAACCTATGGCTGTCCCATCCCTGGAAGTGCCCAAGGTCAAGTTGGAGCAACCTGGTCTAGCAGAAGGTGTCCCTGCCTGTGGCAGGGGGTGGAACAAGATGATTTCAAGTCCCTTCCAACCCAAACCATTCCATGATTCGATGACTCCCAGGAACTCAGGACTCTCCGAGCCGGGCACGGCTGCGGATCCAGGGAGCTGAGCCCCCCCTTCCCTCTGAAATGCAGCGTATAATCTATGCATTAAAATTCCTTGTGAGACAGTAGTTGCTGTGCCTACACAGTCACAGCCTCTTCAGATGCAGCCCTGTAGATATTTTACAAAGCTCTGCCGGAGCTCAGTGTCCTCCCATCACGGGGCTGCCAAATCGCTCCCGGTTGATGCCGGGAATGAGAAAGGGGAACAAAAAAAAAAAAAAAGAAAAATCAAAATCGAGCCGTTTTCCCTCTTTAAAAGCCAGATTTGACTTCAAAGTGAATGGAAACTGCGTGGCTGATCATCTTCCTGCGTCCCCGCTCGCTGCTTCCCCGAGCCAAAGGGTTTGCTCTTCCCTGCGGGTGGAAGTGGATGGGTGTGGATTCTCCGGTGTCTCGTGGCTCTGTGAGTGCAGGAGCACCGTGGATGTGCCAGGGAAAGGCTGGGCCACCGGGAAAACACCACCAAAAGCTGGGTTTAGGTGCCAGCAGAAGGCTCAGTGGGTTTGGGATGTCTCTTAGAAGTGTTTTCCAGGAGCTGGTGGATGCGCGGGAGGTGATGGCCACGTCCAGGACGTGGTGGGTGGTGACCACCTTGCTGCACAGCAGAGAAGGGAGGATTTCCCAGCCTCAGGCCATCTCCTCTGCTGTTCCCACGCCTGGATTCTCACCGTGGAGGAGCAGCTTAGCCCTGCCCCGTGGCCCTCATTCCCTGTTCCTGCCCTGCTTTAGGTCCGAGGGTTTGTGTCCTTCCCAAACCTCCCCCATCAGGGATAGAACATCAAATAAAGCCAAGAGAGCCCCTGGCCTGGTGGGATCCATCCTTTCCATCGTTAATAATTAGGAGAAATCCCTGCAGGAGCTGCGACCTCATGTCTGTGCTGTTGGCAAAAAACACCCACACTGAGGAAACATGGTTTAAAAACAGCCCTGGAAGTGCTCCAGGCCAGGTTGGATTGGGCTTGGAGCCTCCTGGTCCAGTGGAGCATGTCCCTGCCAGTGGGATTGGAACTAGATGGTCCTTAAGGGCCCTCCCAACCCAAACCATTCCATGATTCCATGAAACCAAACCATCTTTTTATGAGACCTCTCAACCTGACCACCCCTTCCCATCCTCCACGCCCTCCTTCCCTCCCATCCCTGTTCCTCTAACCCCTCTCCCGGCGTATTTTTGGACTTTATGAAGAGGTAGGAGATATTTTAGCAGGCCAGGAGCTGGTGAGGCCATGCCTGGAGCCCGGTGCATCCAGGACATGTCACCCATTTAAATATAATGGGGCCGTGTGGGACGGTGCCCATAAAAAGCAATGTCAGGGCAGAGCATCTGATCCGCCCTGGGCAGCTGGGGAAGCTCCCTGATGACTTTTCCAGGTTGTTCCTCGTGCCACAGCCCCAGTCTGTCGCAATAGAGGGAGAATATCATGGGATAAATATATATTTGTATATATTTGCTCTGTGCCAAGCATGAGAGCCTTGGGGGGGGACGTGCGGGGACCGGGCGGGATTGGAGGATCACGTCCCTCTCCAGCATCTCAGCCAGGGATGCTCCACACAAATGCAAATATTCCCACTTCTCCCTCGCTCCTGGCGTTTGCCCTTTGCTCAGGGATAAAAGTTTTTCCCTGGGCACCCCCCAGTCCAGCACATCAGCACCCTCCGGAGCGAGCGCGGCGGCGGAAAATGGGATTTTAATAGGGGATGGAACGGCTGGGAACACCCGTGGTTTCAGCTGAACCCTGGATTTAGGTCACATCTAAAGCAAATTACACTCATAAAGTGATATTTGTGTCTTTTCTTCTTGCTAATGTGCCCCCCAGTCACTTTATATTTATATATATATATATTTTATTTTTTTTTTTTTTTAACATTTAAAGAGGTGGAAAAGCTGTTTGTTCCCTCTTGGAGGTAAAATCCATCACCAGGCTGTTCAGATATATTTTCCACCACTCCATTCCTGGCTTTGACTCCCCCAAACCACCCTGTAAATTATGAATATTAAATTAACATCCCTGGAGGGAGCGTCACCCCTTTGATACGAACCCACAGCCCAGCCCTGCTTCCCACTGGTATAATTCGATTTACTGGAATTTGGGAGACAAGAGCAAGGCTCCAGTTCCTGCTTTTCCCTTTTCTGTCACGTTCAGAACTATTCTCTCTCGTCTCCCCCGTCAGATGTTGGTTGTTGCCTCAATTTGTAACACATTTTAATAACACGAATCTTCCCGTGGCCTGGCTGATTGTTGGATGCTGTTAATCCTTCTGGGAGGAGGGGTCAGAGCTGGGTTTGCAAGCCCAAAATTGCAAAAGCAGCAAAAAAAAAATTTGCCCTCCCAAAAATTAAAAAAAAAAAAAAATTAAGCGAAAGATTAAAAAAAATTGCCCAAAAAAAGCAAATTAACAGAAAAAATTAACAATAAAAGAGAAGAATGCCAAAAAAAGAAAAAAAAAAAAAAAAGGCTGCACTTAATATTTCGTATTTATTTTTTCATGGACTTTTTATTCAGCTTCTCTGCCTGCTCATTGCCTTTCCAAAGGGGGATTGGGGAAATACCACATTAATTAAGTATATTGTGTGACCATCACAGAGCCCTGGAATGGTTCGGGTGGGAACCTGGCCCAGGGTGCCTTGGGCGCTGCATCCATCCGAAATATGCCATCCCAAGCCCTCTCCCATCCTTTTCCCAGGTTCAGCAGCGTGTTCCCCAGCCTGAACATGGCGGTGAAGAGGCGGGAGCAGACGCTCCAGGACTACAAGCGCCTGCAATCCAAGGTGGAAAAATACGAGGAGAAGGAGAGGACCGGCCCCGTCCTGGCCAAGCTGCACCAGGTACCCGGATACTCACCCGGCATTCCCGGGAAAACTTGGGGAAGAGCTTTTCCCTTGGCATCTGGCCACCCGTGCAGCGTATGAACAGTTTGGAAGGGTGTCTTTTACCAGTGGGGGAAAAAAAAAATCCCCGGGTTGATAAATGCGGATTTTAAAGCAGAAGAGCCGCTTTTCCCAGATAAAAGGGAACGTTTTCCAACGCAAACCGGGATCAAAGCCCCCCCCAGGAGCTGGGGGGTGCTCGGGGTCGAGGCACAGGGGGGGTTCCCCCCTCCTGACCTCCCCGTCTGAGGGAGCAGCTGGATGGGAAAAGGGACAGATCAGAGCATTCCCCCAGCTTTATGTTTCCCACCTGTTCCGAAAATTCGTCTTGGAAAAAATCACCGGTAATTGGTTAACAGGAAGTTGTGCCAGATTTTTTTTTTTCCCCCCCCTCCTCTCTCCCAAATTTTAGCAGAATCAACATTAGGGGTTTGGGTTTGTTTCTCTTTTTTTTTTTTTTTTTTTTTTTGGAATTAAATCTTCCCCGGCGTTTCTCCACCAAATCCGTGGGCTCCGACAGCACGTGGCTTGATCCTCGGAGGAACAATTGATTCCCAGCATCAGAGAAAATGTGTTTTTCTGATGAGTTTCCCCCCCCCCAAAAAAAAAATGAAGTTTTGTGTTAAAGAACAGCCCGAACAAAAGACACCTCTGATTTAACAGTAAGCAGCTTATTTTGCTCAGCCTCGGTGACTAAAGCTGGGGCTGGAAAAACGGGAATGCTTTTGTCCTGGTGATTAAGCAGGTTTTAGTTATTTAATGTATTTTTTCCCCTTAATGAACTTCTGATCTAATTCTACTCCCCCCCCTCAAAAAAAAAATAATAAAACTTCACTAAACACTGCATGAGCTTAAACACCTGTGGGAGGGAGCCTTCAGCATTCCCAAACCCGGGGTATCCAAGAGGCCCAGATTTGATGGGAAATGGCCTCATCTCATCCAGGTGTTTAATTATGGAGCTGCAGGTTTAATCAGGTATTTACTCCCAGTTCTCTGCTCTCCATGAGCTCCATCCCTGCAGTTCCAATGTCCGTGGGGAACGATGAATTTGCCTCTGGGGTGATTTGAGGCTCTGCCAGCCCGGAGCTCTGCCCATTCCATCCCTCTGGAATTCTGTCCCTGTCCCCGGGAGCGGGGCCGGCGCCGTGGCCGGGCTCGGATCCCCTGCACCCCCCTCCCTCTGGAATGGCACTGGGATTAAGTGGCAGACTTGAACCAGTCTAATATTTCACAGCCCACCCCCTCCTGCCCTTTTCCACACCATCCCTGAGACATTTCCCTTTCTCCCCACGCTTCTGTTGGAAGGAGCCAGTTGGACACGCTGAGCTGAAGGTCACGGGCAAAAGGGGTGGTGGGGGCAGGATCCTGGGGAGATGGTCCTGGGAATTGCAGGGAGAGGGGACGTGGCCATGGCCAGGGATGTTCTCCAGCCTGACTGAGCTTTAGGGGTAGTTTTTGTCCATGTTTTTCCAAAGGAGGGAAGACCAGCTGGCTCAGAGCCTCTCTGGGTGTCCCATGGCTTTGCAGGGTCAGAGCTTGGTTCCCACCAGGCTCCATTAACTGGTCACTTGATCCCACCAGGCTCCACTGGATGGTCATTTGATCCCACCAGGCTCCATTAACTGGTCACTTAATCCCACCAGGCTCCACTGGATGGTCACTTGGGTCCCACCAGGTTCTATTATTCCATTAACTGGTCACTTGATCCCACCAGACTCCATTGGATGGTCACTTGGGTCCCACCAGGCTGTGTTGGATTGTCCCACGGTTCCCAGCAGGTCCCAGTAGCTGATCACCAGGTTCCATTGGATGATCCCATGGGTCCCACCAGGCTCAGGTCAAAGCAGAGCATTCCTCTGGAATGGCCTCTTTGAAGGCATTCCCAAAGGAAGAGCGTTTTCCCAGGTGTCTGACTCGCAGCCTCTCCTCTCCTCTCCCAGGCCCGGGAGGAGCTGCGCCCGGTGAAGGAGGACTTTGAAGCCAAAAACAAGCAGCTCCTGGAGGAAATGCCCAAATTTTACAGCAGCCGCATCGATTACTTCAAACCCAGCTTTGAGTCTCTGGTCCGGGCACAGGTGAGAGGCTGTTCCTGCCTGCTGGGCACTGCCAGGGGGGAATCCTTTGGTGGGAATCCTCCTGCAGAGCGCCTGGGTGGGGATTCCACCTGGAGCAAGGTGCTTTCTCGCAGCAGTGCCTCCAGGAATTCCATCACCCCGGTGGGAGGGCACGGGGAGCAGTGGGATGGCTGGTGGGAGTTCAGATGGACCTTGGCCTGGCACAAGTGGTGCAGTGCTGGATAGAAGGGACAGCTGAGGGGAATTTTATATGGATCTGGGACACTCCTGGTACGTGGATCGTGTCCTGTCCCGCAGTTCCAGCCCTGGCTATACATAATCCGCTGGGATTTGATGGCTCTATCCACCTGGGCATGTCATCCCCTTGGATTTGTAGTCCTGAGCTCTGGGTTGGATCTTGTTGGAGGTGTTGAGATGCTCAGGGCTCATCTTAAGGGTCTCTTGTGGCTTCTGGTGAGCAGAGAGGAGGCTCCTGGGACATCTCCACGCTGAGGATTTGCAGGAAAGGAGTGGCCTAAATAACCCGCAGCTTTCACTTCCATCCTCCAGCCTCCTTTGGGGACTTGCTGCTGCTCCTCCTCCTCCTCCTCCTTCTCCCTTTGCCCTTTTCCTCAGGCTGGAGAGGGACAGGGTTGGGATCTAATCAACCTTTGAACCTCCAGCACCTCATGCCCTGGGTCACGGGGCGGTCCCGTGATGGGAGGGGAGGACAAAACCTCTCTCTGCTCCCTCCGTGGGCGTTTCCCGGTGGTATTTTTGGGAAGGGAGCTGCTGCAGGGACACAGGTGCCGGGCGGGGGGGCTGCAGGGAGGTGCTGGGAGCACGTGTTCCATCTCACCTCCGACTCTGGGGGGGCCTCTGCGCGGAGCTGCCAGCGAGTTGTCTGCAGGCTGATTCACCTACCAGATGGTGCCGATGCTCCCTGCGCCGCAGGGTGGGAGCTGGGGATGCTGTTCCTGCTGTTCCCTCAGCGATGGGCCCCGGGGCTCCCTGTTCCAGCCCGGCACAGCCGGAATAACCACAATTCCCAGAGCCACTGCAGGGTCTCGCTGGCCCTTTCCCCCTGCAGACCCTCTCCGGGTCGCACGGATGGGACCTGGAAACCCGAAGGTTCTCTGCCATCTCCGGGTGTTTGCCATCCATGAGTTTCCTCAGAGAGCAGCTTTGCCCCTCTGGCTTTGACCACGATGTCCCTCACTCCGTTTGCATCCCAATTCCCAGGGAGTTTGGGGCGAGGGCACGTTGGGATGGATGTGCTCGGAGCACCCAGGGATGCGAGCAGGGAGCGGCAGGATGTCCTTGCTGGGGCTGTTTGTAAGACTGTCCATTCATATCCCTCTTCTTCCTCGGGAATCCTCTGTTTTCTCTCCCAGCCTGCTCCATCTTCAGGTGAGGAGTTTCTCAGGAGAGCCGAGCGAAATCCCGTTTTTAATCCCCCAAAAAAAGGCAGCGTCACAACAAAGCTGATGCATCTCCCGTAGGCTGGACTAGAGCTGGTCCCAGATGGATGCAGCTCCCATCCCTCCCTCCCTGCCAGCTTCCATGGGAGCTGCATCCCTCTCCCCCAGCACTGGCTGCACCCTTCCACCCCCGGGGAGGGAATGCCAGGAGGAGAGCTCGGAATGTGTGTCCCCCTCCGCCGCTTTAGGAGCTCTGGGGAGAGTTTTCCCATCGAAGGGGCTTAAATATTAAGGAGAAGGGAAATGACTTGCCCGAGGGAATGAGTCAGTGGCGAGCCAGGAATAGCTCCCAGAGCCCTGACTCACCTGGGGAGCTGCTCACCTGCGGGCAACTGCCTGGGAAGGGCATCCCGGGGGCTGCCGGGGGGCTGCCGGGAGCATCCCCATTCCCTGTGGGAATATTTCCCAGCCAGCCCCGCTCATCCCGGGTTTCTCTCCCTCCATGCCTCCTTGAGCTGATTTAGCACCTCAGGGGGAGGGCGTGTTCCTCGATGGAATTTCTGTTTTCAGCCTCTTCTCTGGGTCCCTTCCTAGGGGCGATGGTTGGGATGGGGCTGGGGGTGCATCCCTGAAGGAAAGGGGTGGATGGGGGGAGGCTGGGATCAGCTGCCACCGTGCTGGTGGCCATGACTTGGGGGCTGCTTGTCCCTGGGTCAAACCCACCGTCCAAAGGCAAAACTACGCAGTTTTCCCTATCTTTTTTGGCCCTGGAGAAGTCGGAGGGTTACAGTGAGACAAGAGTGTGACGGTGACACCGGGAAGGGCTGGGAAAGGGCCCAGCTGCCTCTCCGTGCCATGGCAAAGGACCCTGCTCCAAACCAGCCCCATGGCTCTGACCCAAGGAGACCCTCCAGAGCCTCCTCTCCGGGCGGGCGAGTTCCCATGGCACAGCCTGGCCCCGTTCCCGGTGTCTCCTGACGCCGGGACATGTCCCGAGCTCGCAGGGCTGTAACATTCAACTCCAAATTCTTCCCTCCACCCACGTGCCCGGGCCAAGCCAAGGGAGGCAAATGTTTCCCTGGCTGGGGGCTTTGAAGTGGCCACACGGAGATGAAAGGGGGGGATTTTGGAGCTGGTGTGAGGCGTGAACAAACTTCCTTCCCGCTTTCGTGCTTTATTTTCCAGCTAGAAAACGTGATGTTCCTTTGGTTTTTAAGGAAATGGGGGGAGAAAAGATGGGGCTGGCAGGCTGGGGGGGTTGCTGTGGGACGGGGGAGCCCGGCCCTGGCAGTGACCCCGGGTTTGTTTTGGGTAGGGCTGACCCAAACACAGCCGGCCATTCCCGGCCGGGCCGTTGTGAGCGGGATCTACAGAAAATCCGCGGAACACCGTGTCCCCAAACAGAATTAGTTCAAGACAGGTGGACTCGGGGCCTTTGGCTCGGGCTCAAAGGCGAGTTGGAGATGGGATTTGATGGGATGGGGACGGAGCATATGGTATCCATAGCTGGAAAAGTACTGGGCTGGCGGGAGCAGGTAGGGCAGGGGGAGCTGCCTGTGGAGCCAGAGGGTCCCCCCCCGTCACTGCCACGAGTGTGGGGTGCACCCCCTTCCTGGGACCCCCCATGGAGGCAGGGGTGGTTTTTACTTGTATTCCAATGGGGGGATCGGTGCCAGTGGGATTCTGTTGGTGCAGCTCGGGGGACTCAGCTGGTCGTGGCCCTGCTGGTTTGGCACAGGGGCCTGCTGGGGGAGAGGAGCATCCCCGAGGACACCCCCCAGGCCCTGGGGACACGGCGTGTCCCACGGGAAGGGCTCACCCACGGGAAGGGCTCACCCACGGGAAGGGCTCGGTGGCTGCGGGATATGGGCGGTGGGGGGGAGCAGCACCAAAGAGTTTGGACTGAGGGCAATCCCGGGGGACAATCCTGGGAGCAACTGTGGGGGAAATTCTGAAGAGGCCAGCCCTGGGGGACAATCCTGGGAGCAACTGTG